TCACACAGATTACCACTCCTGAACTGCCCCAATTATGGGCCAAACTATAAAAATTTTCATCTAAAGCACAATGAGTTCTATCAATTTTAAAAGTTCTGAATATCACAACAACAAAACACCACTGATTTCCAAGCACAAGCTATTTCTTACTACTAAAGCTTATAATTATTTTGAGATTATTCTAACTAAAAGTATGCAATTATAATAATACAATCTGGTTATCCATAACATTTCAGATAATGTTCAGACAAGTTTAAATACAATATAGCATCTCCCATTTGAGTAAGGTAAAGTACAACAAAGAGCACGATGAAAGATAGCTAGAAGGAGACAGGTGGGATCTCTTGCACAGGGGCAGGCTCCAGGGAACATCAGCGGGAGGGAGGGGCAGAGAGCTTCATAACTGCAAAAGGAGAAAGTTCAGTTCTAGCCACTGCAATCTCAGTTTTTTTGAACTATGAAGTGATTTGTAAAAGATGAGTAGAATTTCAAACAGAAAAAGAAAAAAGGCATGTGAGACTAAGTGTACAGCATGAACTAAGACAAAAACATACATGATCTATTTAGAGAATACACATGACACACATTTAATGTAAGTGGGGAAAAGTCACAGAAAGTGATACTGAAAGGGAATAAAGATAAAAAGAAAATGAAGATCTGGAATGAAGTAATATTTTGGATTGTTTAGTAGGTGTCCAAGAGAAAGATACAACTAGAGCTGGTGGAAAATAACTGGTGACAAAATGGTTTAGAAAAGTGAGGCAGATTGGGCCTGTTGGGAGCATTTGGGAGGCTGAGGCAGGAGGATCACTGTGAGCTCCCAGCTGACTACAAAGTCAGCTCAAGGCAGCCTGATTTACACAGCAAGATTCTGTCTCAAAAAGACAAAAACAGAAAAGTGAGATATCAGAGAAAGTAAGGCTAATTGGAATATTATTGTTTTTGTTTAGGTAAGAACATGCAAAAAGTAGGAAAAATAGGAGTGGAAAAAGTAGAAACTGAGGATACTGAGCTAAATAAGCTAAATTTATCTTCCATCATCCATGGACAATACCAAACAGACAACCGGAAAATGGAGTTTGGGTCAGAAGAGAAAGACTTCGATGGCGGTAAAGACTTAAGTCTTCAGAGTAGAGGATATCATTCAAGAATAGAGTATAAACTAGGATGAGGTCGGGGAAAGGCTCAAGCAATAATCATATTTAAGGATTAGTTAGGGAAAAAAAAGAGTGAGTGAAGAGATTACTAGTGGTGACCGGTCAGATTATCTCATCTTTAAAGTGGTCTTCGTGGAGCCAGCTATCCAGCATCAGAAATAGCACTTTAGTGGGAGAAGGAAGGACCAGAGCCACAAACCAAAAGATCAAAGAAAAGGGGCTTGGGGAATGGTGGGGTGAGGGAAGTGGGCTCTGGGTGGAGTAAATGGAAGAGACCTCAGCGCCACCAATGACCAGAGAAACAACCAGTTTGAAAACATCTCTTCTGAAGCAGGAAAGAGCAACGGGGTTAAGACTGCACTCTGAAACAGGTTAAGGGAAAAAATCTCAGCAGTCAATGCAATGATCTTTCACCTTGGGTTGGCAAAAAGGAAGTTATAAGTAATCCAATACCCAAAATATTGAAGAAGTGAAATCAATAATGATCAAGCACTTGGTCCCTCTTAAGATTTCCTTTTTTTGACTGTTTTATGCATTTACCTGTCGGCTGAATGTATTCTGCACATGCATCCAGTAGTCTTCAACTGGATCATAACAATATATGGCTTTGGTCAGTCCACCAGCAACATAGATCAGATTGTTTAAGGACACAGCTGTTATACACCTCTTGGCAATTGGGATAGCTGCACGGAGGAGCCAAGAATTGGTTTCTGGATTATAAGATTGAACCTAGTGATATACAGAAACATCTAATTAAAATTGCTAAACAAATACATAATTTAATTAAAAATCTATAGGACACATGATTAAACATATTTTATTAACACAGAGCATCTGATAATGAAATATGTGCTCTTCTCAAACTCTTAACTCCAACTTTTCCCTCTCAAGTGCTGAGAGAATGCAGTGCAGTGGCTTAAATTTTTAAAAATCTGTGTTGGGGGGCCGGCCAGATAGCTCAGCAGATTAAAGCGCCTGTTTAGGCAGAGGCAGGAGTCCCATCCCCAGCATGCAGTGCCAGCCCCACCCCTGGGGCGCACTGAGACAGCAGTTGAGACTGGGTTTAGTGGCGCACGCCTGTAATCTCAGCACTTGGGAGGCTGAAAATAGGAGAATTACTACAAGACTAATCTATGTAGTGAGACCTTGTAGATCCTGTATGAAATACAAATAAATAAAATAAGTGTTGGCATGATAACTATACATGAACACAATTTCTTTACAAGTTCTAGGGGGTTGTTTCTTCAAAAGAACACAAATAAACTTCAATCCTGTATACTCTTGTTTTTTGAGACAAGGTCTTGCTATGTAGTCTAGGATGGCCTTGAACTCACTACATAGTCCAGGCTGGCTTTGAACTCTCAGCAATCCTGCTGCAT